CATTTGGCGTATGGATGCCAACCCAATGTCTTCCCAACTCCAAAGTGTGAAGTATTTCCATGCCATTTTCTGGTGGTAGCAATTTGAGGCAGAACTGGTAAAGCTAGTTTCCAGAGCTTTCCCTCAAAATCATAGCAGTTAAAAGAAATCTGCAAGTATCTTGGTGCAGAGATTGCTGAGACGAACAGATAAACTATTCTTCAAAATAAATGGGGTGGCAGAACAGAAATTGCCATCTGTAATGAGGAGATAGTCCCTTGCAGACCAATTCTGACTTCAGTCGCATAGGAATAAGTGAGGGTTACCGTGTAAGTTGTCAGAGAGAGGTTTCACTTTTGTGTTAGGGATCAGAATTTGCTGCCCACAGATATATGCTCATCTCTGCTTTGCAGAGCTCTTGACAATCTTTCCGTTTCTTGGGGGCAGGAATTTAGCTGTATCTGTGCATGCTTCTCTGTTCAGCTGTGCGTACTGCAGCTCAGCTCTACTGTCAGCTGCTTCACATCCCTGCATCACACTTATTCAGAACTGGCAGCTCTGGAGCAGCCCATTATGGATCAGAATGTTCAGAAATAGGGAAATGAGCAGCTGTGATAAACTGCGTCAATGTACAAATCCAACCTTACCATGAAGAGGATGGACTTCTCTTCACGGACTTAAGCCAGGATTGTGCAGCTGGGACTGCCGTGCACAGCAAACTTCATACCAAGTGACATAAGTGGACATCCAGGAGATGATATGAGCTACTCCCATGCATCCAGTGTTCAAAAAGGAAACTGGAAATGGATTTTTCACTTGCATCTGTATTTATCTGTGGCATCCCAATGAGACACAGTTAGGCAAAGTCTGTCCAGTGTTGGCCTTATGCTCACCTACATATACTTCTCAAGATGTCAAAATAAATTATTGTCCATCTTCAATCTGAAACACTCCACACAGTGTGAACTCAGCATTACAAAAAGCTTCCATCCTTACATTTCTGTGATCAAAATGCACACGAAGCAAATACAGATTTTGGGGGTAGCCCTAGGAAGAAGGGCTTTACCTTTAGCAATTATCAGCTGTACATTGACCCCCACTTGCTTGTTGCTCCAACTATAATTGAAGAGCTTGTGCCAGCTTCCCTTTTACTGGTTTCATCAATGCCAGAAGAGATCTGTTGAGGTAATGAGTGCCTATTTGTGGCAGGCCTGGGAAGGACTTACACTCACTAACAACGTTTTGCTCAGAACCAGCAGAGTTGCATTTTCAGTAGACTTAAACACAACCTTCAGACCTACTGGGCACATCAACCAGTGACAAAATGCAGGAAGACGAAGCCCCAGCTATGCGAGGTGATTATAGGAGGACTGTTCAAACTGGAAAACTCCAAGTTCCAGCCAGGTTGTAAATGAACCATCTGCGGAAAATACAGACAAGCAAATATACAGACATCAGTAGGTGGTGACAAGTGGTAGGTATCACGTGGAAGTGAGCAGACACGTTCACTTTTTTTTTTTTTTTGTGAATACTAGGCAATTAGGACAAAGGTAGTGTCATATTCATTGGTCAGCAATTAAGTATAGAGCCCTTCGAGATATGTTAAAGCAGAACAAAGGAACGTTGCCAGTGCTTTTTGTGTCAGAGACAAATATTTTGCTCAGTAACACTAAGTCAATTGCAAGAGCACATTCAGCCCACAAAGAGCAACAGAGAACTGTAATCCCTGTTGAGCCAAGACGTCTGGATACCAGTTATCCAAACATATCACAACCGGTCCTTCTTCAGCATCAGCTTTTTGTGTCTTCCTCACTGAAAGACATCAGCACACCAGCAGTCTCAGAGCTCTCCCTTAGCTTCTCAGATGTAAGTCAACATGACGCCATCCTGGAACTGCAAATCCCACTCTGAGAACAATATTGTTGTTCATTACAGTGCTCAGTGCTGCCATGGCCCATTTCAGTCATCTTCAGAGCCGATGCTGAACTCCACGAGTCAGCTTGCAAGTCCATACTGAAAGACATGGTATTTAATCTAATCAAGCAATAAATGAATGTTTTGAAAGGTGGAGAGAGAAAATGCTCCTATAGCTTTGTGTTTATTAAACTTACACAGCATGTTGGAAAGCAAAAGACAAAAAACATGATATATTTTTATTTATTATTGCTCTTAAAGGGCTTGGTAGTCAAATATACAAGCTACGTTCTATTAAACCAGAAGAAAATTGTGTAAGATATAAAATCTACGCTCACTTTTCCAACCCAAGCCACTTGCTAATTTTCATCAATGACATTAACTTTAGCTAGTTCAAGTTATTTTAATTTATACATACTGTGTATGTGTGCGTGCGTGTGTACATAAAAACCCCTATTTTAAGAGGCAGAATTCAAAATGAAGAGCTTTGTGTTGGTTTTGTACTGTTCTGTGCACTGCTGTATATTTCAGTTTCCCAAATGGTTACTGATATGTTTGCTTAGAAGAGCAAATTAATTAAATGATGATGCGTGTATCATATTTTCAAAAAGAAAGCATGACCAATAAGTTATAAGAAAATAAGAAACGTGGGTTATTCTCCCCTTGATGTACATGCATTAGTCCCATGATTCCTAGTAGGAAGTTGCATGCACTGAGAGGAGAAGAGTATCCCATAAAGAGAAAGGCTATTAATTCCTTTCTCCTTTAAACACTTCCCCTCTTCTCAACATTAAGAAGGGATTTATTTTGTGAAAATCTTGTCATGCCCCATTAATATACTGCTCAAAATGTAAGTATAAAACATAGTGATCAGCCTGCTTTGCAAGCCTCACTTTGCCAGTACAGTTTACTTATACTCAATATCATCTTCAGGAAGCAAGTATACAGCATTTGTAACACCTTTCTAAGAAACAAGAATTATACCCAATATGTCCATTAATGAATTATTTATGGGAAAAGAAAAGGGAAGGGGAAAGAAAAGAAAGAAAAGCCCACTGGTTTTAGCCTTCTGGTTAAAAAAGTGAAAAATCAGAGAGTTAGCTTTATCAGCATTTGGAATCCTAACCTTCTTTAAGTACAAAAGCATTCAGTAAGGAAAACAGAGTCATGGCTAGGATCTGTTCTCAATTCCTAAAGAGTATTCCAAATTTCACTAACAACAGTTGCTTATCCTCTCTTATAGGGAAGATTTTTGGGGGTAGAAAGATAACGTAGTAATGCTGAGGCTATGGGTTCAGTGATTCAGTGAGAATAAGTCTAAGCAAAGACAGACAACACAGGTCATCTTTCAAATTCCTTTTGTTGGAAAAATCACTAGTAAAAATTGAGTGCATGACAACGGTGATTGATGACCCTCAGTAAAATATTCTTCAAAGTTACAAAATGCCTCTTTCAGTCTTTGAAAACAGAAAAAACATGTAGGAGAAGAGGTTACAGTCCAACAGAAGAAATATGAAAAGAAGGTAAATTATTACTTTTTTTTATCTTTGTTACTAGGGCAAAGACGAAAAATAACTATCAGTGCTCTGATAAGACCTGCTGTTTACAGAAGTGAGATAAATATTCTAGTGGCAGCTGGGTTAAACTGACAGACCTTGAGGGTCAGCTTCTGCCCTCAACTATGGATCTGCAACCCATTTCCAATTGTAGCTAAATGCAGATTTTGGCCATCAGACTTAAACTCGTAGGTAACTCCCATCTATCTGTAGATCGTTCTGTAGTTGTGCATACAGCAGCAATCTGCACAAATCTCAGAATGTGCATTTAGAGGGAAAAAAAAACAAAACAAAACAACAAAAAAAAAAACAGGTACAGCCATAATTCTGATCTCTATTTTCAGTGGAAAAATCTAAAGGTCTACAAGTAAAACTAAAGGTATTTAATATCCCTGAAGAGACCCCATACTCATTCTAATGCTTAACAGCAATGAGTCACCTTGTAATATTCTTCACATTAATATCTAAAGCACAACCAAGTAGAAAGTGCAGCACACTCTACTGTTACACAGAGTACGATCCTGTTTTCATCTGTATCGACACCAAAACTCCCATTAGAAGTTCAAGAGATGCCAGTATTTGGAATCTGATTGCTACAGACCTTTCCTTTCAGAATTCTTGCAAAGGACAACATTATGAAAACTATTGTGCTCATTTCTGCTATTATCTCCCTTTTTACTAAGAGACATTGATTGAACCGGACTTAGGTGATGACAGACACCAACAGAAATAGGAGGAGAAAACATCAGGACAACTGAACAAATTTCCTTCTTTGCACAACTCCAAATCCTGTGATCAAAATTCAGAAAACAAACCAAACTCGAGCAAATTCAAAATTACATATGTGTATGTTGTGAAACAGGGCAAATAACATTCAAGACTGAAGTACTATTTTGTGATTAAACAGCCTTGAGCGGTTGGCAGGAGATCTGATGAGAAATCTATACTGGATAAATACTAGTGGATGTGTTCTATGGGATGTACTGATCAGTAACACAATGCTTCCAAACTCCGCTATCCATTCTCTAACGTTACAGAAGTTTTAAGAAGTTGCCTGAAAATAAAAAGTATCAGTGTAACATACAAATAGGATTTAATCTGTAGCCATGACAACACAACCTTTTCAAAATGACTAACCCGGTGAACATGTCAATTAACTCAAAAATGGTTGGTTTTTTTTTTCCTGGATTGTTAATTAAAAAAGTCGAAAATCAGTAAATGTTGTTGGCTTTAGCAAGAGGAAACGTTCTGTGGCTCCTCTTGTAAAAGTGAATGTAGTGCTCTTGACAGAAACCAGTGTATTCAGTCATCTGAAGATGCACACAGCCTATATTCAATGACATCTTTTCACCCCCTACCCCCAAATCCCCAACAAAGCAAGAAAATTTAGATTCATCCTCCCTCCACCCTGATTTTCTCCCATAGTTTGACTACAGTAATCCTTAAACAGGCAGAAAGTCGATGCATTCTCTTCAGGTGATTCCTCCAAATTCTTCATTCTTGGCTCAAGTTTTATTCATTAATATTAGTCATCAGTTATTAAGAAAAAGATAGTTTCTAAATGTTTATTGTTTTTGTTTTTTTTTGTTTTTAACTGAAGTTAATTGGATACCATAGTCTGGTTATATGTGCTGAACTGCAGCTGTCAGTTATTCCTTTTTCTTGAATTCTTGGTTGCCATAGCTGGAGCCTTTTTCTATTTCAGTTACTCCTATCAGTCTACGAACTCCAAAGGAAGCTTTAAAACATAACAGAGAAATGGTATGTATATTAAAGCCAGTTCAAGGATTCAGAAGATTACATTAAACACAGAAGCAGAACAGACATACAAATATGAGTTATTTCAAGCCTAACATCAGTAGACACTACAGAACGCTGCTTTTCAACTGCACACTGTATGAAGTTGCATGTAGACCACCTGTTTTTGTGTGTTTTCTTCTTTTTTTTTTTCCTCCAAGATCATAGACAAGATGTGCAGTCTGAGTATTTTCTCCTTCAGACATGGACTACAAGACTCACTTGCTATTGATTGCTATAGATACTGCTTAAGATATGAAGGCAAGTCTGCCTGGATTAAAAGCTTTTCAGATAATAAAAACACTACACAAGGTAAAAGACTACATAATGAGCTCTTCTGCAAGTCCCATTCATATCCATAATGCACAGAACTTATTTGAGCTAATGGATCCTATTACATGTTACTGGGCTTAGCATCTTCTCTGCTTTTATTACCTGCTCCAACAAATCCCAGGAATGCAAGGATAAGGAGAGGTGATCCACTTGCAAAAACTCCAAAGCCAAATGTGAAGAGAGGGGAGAGAAGAACTGTGGCCCAGAAAAGAAAGTTTAGGAGGGTCCATGGTCTCCTAGGTGGTTTAAACTGCTGGCCAGGAAATGTGCCTTCTTGATTATACATCTCTTGCAAAGCATCCTGGAAGAAAGAGAAGATAGAGAAAACATAATCATATGTTTGCACTAAGCAATCCAAGACTAGTTAACTCTAGGACAACATCGAGGACATCCTCTGCAGTAAATACTTGTCAAGAGTACATGGCATTCATTTCCATCTGCTGTTGCAGTTTTTTTGCTGTTTGGGCATTTCAGTTGACTGCCAGAGCTACTACCAGCTGAGCCCTTTGAAGGCTGTGTTGGTCATGATCAGAAACTGAAACAGTATTGGCCTCCCCACCACCAAATAACTTCATCTGCTTTCTTAATCTCTTAGGAATTTAGGGCTGCATAAGGCCACAGTTCAGACAGCAGTTGCCTCTCTGCTGGATGCTTTTTCTTCCCATTTTTACTTCCAGAAAAGTCAGAGTGATTTGAGTAAATCACAGCACAAAAATGCTATATATTCAGCAAAAAAGAGGAAGACAAATCACAAACTGACCAGCAGAGACAGCACTGTACTAACCATAAATGCAAGACTTATTCTTCTCTTGGTGTGTAGGAGTGCTCTATAAGATATCCAAGCCACTACCAAGGATGGTTCAAGTTAGGTTATTTCTCTTTTTTTCTCCCCTGCTTAAGCTGTTTTTCTTTTAGCTTCCCTTATGAAGGGCTGAGATGTTCAAATTGTTCTTTGCCAATAACACAGCCTTTTGAGGCCATATCCATAGTACAGGAAGAACATTTTAAGGATTCCAGTTACAACATACTGCTACAATCATAAGATCAATATATGAAATACCCACATATATAAATAATACCTCCCCTGACAACATCTCTCATATCTCTCAAGTTTAATGGAGGAGCAGCACACATCAGCAAGGAACACCAAGCCCTCAATTTGCAAGCAAAGCAGAGCATTCTGTCCAAAGAACGGAGCCAAGCAGAATGGATGCTCTGTGCTGCATCTGTTTAGCCCTGCCATTGGTTGTTTAACAAAGACACGGAGAAAGAAAGGCCCTGTAAAATACCTCATGAAGTTTGCTCTTCAAACCAGGCAATTTCAGCAGGAATTTTCATACCTAAGAGTATTCCAGACCCTTACAATTTGCTGCCTTCCTATAAACCTAAGGTTAAGTGTAAGGTTGGAAATGCTGCAGTGTAGGCTAACATAGCAGAAGAAAAGCAAAGACAGTTAATATGTGCTCCCCGTTCCCCACACACCCTCCAGGGAGGAGGAGTACAACAATAAAATACACATTTCAAGTTCAACAATCCACCAATTAGGGTTGGGCAATGTAAATTACAGTTCTTTCCTCTCTCCTGTTCAATCTGTGGTCATGAAATAAACCATCTAATGGGAAAAAAGATAAGAAATGAGAAAAAAGCTTTGAGTCCTCTGAAGACACTCTAGCCATTTGCAACATCTGTCCCTGGCAGCAGATCCCAGGGACTATCTGTACCATGCCACATACTGTTTCAAAGGTATTACAGGAAGACAGAGAAGAAAAGTGAGTGTGGAAGAAATATGAAAGCAAAGGACCAGTGTTGCTAAGAGCCTGGACTGGCTGCCCCTGGCACAGTTATCACTCTTCTTGAGTTCATAAAAGCATCCACGGGGAACACGGGGCTTTTAGAAATGTATGACAGAGACCCAAGAGTTGAAGAACATAAAGAGATGGTTGACTGCTATTAGTCTTCTGCAACAGTCTTGGAAGCCCACTGTGCTTCCCAACAATTTGAGACATACTCAATGGCTGCACAGGGATGGCTAAGGGGTTCCCTTAACAGCACGCCTATACTGCTCCATTCAATAGTCTGAGGAATAGCTACCAAATTATATATATTTCCATCTCTTCTCTTCCTCTAGTGAAATGAAGTGCATTTCTTAATTCTTTAGTATACTACCCCTGAAAATTCTGAAAGAAAGAAAAGAAAGAAAAGCTATTTACCTTTTCTTGGTAAAGCTTATGAAGCCAGTTTGCAGCTTCCTTTTCATCTTGAGGGATATCTTCCAGAGGAAATCTCCTGGTTTAGTAGAGAGATGAAGGAATAAACAAAAAAAGGATTAAGAGAAAAATACAGGTGTTTGACTTTAGACCTCTGTTAGAGAAGATCTCTCATTGAATAAAAGACACGGACTAGATGTAATAATGTCATTGATGGCAAAGTTTTTTCTATGTACAGATGAATTGAGACCTAAATAACTGCTGATTCACCACCTAAAAACTTAGATTTTTAAGAAAAAAACAAACTGTACGGGCTCCCATCAATCTCAGAGCACATTAGTAAAAAAAGCATTTCACATTAAAACACTGTTACTTCCTCACTGGAGCCATCATCTGCTGATTCCCAGTGGGCTCAGACTGAGTCACCCAGGGCTGAAATAAAGATGAGCAAAAGTGACAAAACTCAGGAAAACTGTTACATTCTTTTAGTGAGGAAAAGAAACAAATTAGAAGGTATGGAAAGGGAGTAGTTACAAATTCACTTTGTACCCACTCCATGGAAATCACCTCCTACAGACTGCCTTCTTGCTCTCTCTCTCTGGCCATACAAATAAAAACATAAGTTCTGGTGCATATGAAAGCTACGCTCAGCTCTGGGCACTGACTTGACCTCACTGAGAACAGCTGCCTTTTAACAATCCCCTTCCTAGCAATGAAGAGCCAACCCATTTCCTGCATTCTTTTGTTTTCCGAGATATGCTGTTAACACATTCAAAAATGCATTGTCTCCTTTCTCAGTGGCACACATCTTGATGTCATTGATCAATTCAGAAAGAAGATGCATGATTTGTAGAGGTGAGGGACTCACATCTCCTACCCTCAGCTCAAGCATATTTCGGTAACACTCCAACAATATGAGGCCCCTCTTATAGCAGGGCATTAAGAACAGAAGTGTTATTTCTGGGAGAGCTCCAGACTCAGTGATAGCACATAAAATTTATTTGCTGCTGTTCAATCAGGGAATGTGTTTCCACAGCTCAAAGTGAAGCTTTTGAGCCTGCAGCAGCAGAGGGAAGATATTCTAACACATTTCTAATAATTTCTGCATCCCATAAACAAATGGAAAACTAGGGTTTACAGATTTCTTTTTAATAGCTCTAACAGGAGGAGATGCTCAATTAATATAAGTAATGCTCAGTAAGAGCTCAGTAAAAAGTCATTTGCTGAAAGCTCTTTGCTACAATTGTTGCTGTGATGATACCACCACTAGAGGGTACTCACAGCAACAACATTTACCAGTTTAGCTCTGGAGTCCCTCAGGACAAAGATTGGATCATCTGCTGCTTTGCACAGGTATCTGCATATGCATATATGAAGAACAAGAGCTTCCTTTCTCTATCTAAGCCATGTCTGCTGGTACATCAAGGACAGGTAAAGATTTAAAAACTGGTCTCCTCCCTAGTACAGAATAATAGCTTCAAGCATAGAAAAGCATGGTGAGAATGTTGATTCACTCCACGATCATATTATAGATCAAAATTACTGAACAAGATAATTACTAGCTTCTTTAACAGAGTATCATTAATAATTTCACCTGGCAGCCTTCCCTGACATAGCATTTCTTCCACAAAACCCTTGCTGTGTTACCTCGACACAGTGGATGACCACTGTGATTCCTACAGACCCTTTCAACCTTGGAAGATCTGGCACGACACACCTGCTTTCACTGAGACATTGTATAGAGCTGGTGCTATGCATCTACCATGCACAAACCCAAGGGCAGTGGTGAAAGGAGTGAGAGAAGTAGCAAGACTACCTGCTACCTCAAATAGCTGAAGTGAGCTGTCAGAAGAACAACGGAAAGAACAATCAGATGGTTTGTCAAGCCCAAACATAAAAGGGAAAGGAAGAGAATCAACAGGAAAGTGTCAGTAGCTTCTATTATCACAAGGAGGCATTACAAGAAGAAGGCGACAAGAAGAAAGAAAGAAAGAAAGAAAGAAAGAAAGAAAGAAAGAAAGAAAGAAAGAAAGAAAGAAAGAAAGAAAGAAAGAAAGAAAGAAAGAAAGAAAGAAAGAAAGAAAGAAAGAAAGAAAGAAAGAAAGAAAGAAAGAAAGAAAGAGAAAGCACATGTATGTGTGCATGGGTGAAGCACATGCTGTAGTGTTAGGTGTTAGCAGTCACTCTTTCAGGCAAAAAAGTAATGAGGAATGTGAGGAATATATCACCTCATTCATACGATGTTTGAAATTCAGCATTATTTAATTTCTAATCTGCTAGTCAAACCATGTGACACGAGAAGGAGAGAAACTGGCACAACAAAGAGCTTTACACCACTCACTATTAGAAACTACTAGTTTTGGACAGGCTATTCATACTATGTGTATGCTTTACAAGAGACTGGAAAGGGGACAGAAGAGTTAGTTGGCTTTCTGTTCCCAGCAGAGAAAAGAAGGCGGTATGTAAGTGTCCTCACTGCACAAAGCTTGGGGAATTCCCAGCTGGACTGACAGTGCAGTCATATCCAGCCTTAAAAACCTATCCAATGTGCTGTGACTTGCTAGGCAAAATCAGGGCATGATTTTCAAACATGAAAGCAAACTCAAGCAGGGGAGAAACAGGGAGATTTCAATGGCCCGCAGAGAAAAGAAAACTACAGCAAAAGACATTTCCCTCCAATGTCTGTATACACTTCAACATGCCAAAGCATGCATCTTCAGGCTCACCTCCATCATGAGATGCTCACCTTACACACATATCTGCTTCATATTTCTTTCCATAAAGAATTCCTAATAAAGATGGGTTCTTGTTTCCTCTGAAATTTAGTGTTACATCATACACTGCTGAAACTGTTGTAAAGAAGAAAAAAAATGGCTGTTACATCAGTGATTCTAGCAACCACGTTGCCAGCACCCTTGCAATAAACAGCACCAGGGCCCTGTGCAAGCCTTACATTAATGATGTCAGGTGGCAGAGTCCTTCACCACTTTGTGCTTACATGCTGTATTTGTCTATTTCAGCCACCTGACGTTCCCAACTACACTGCACGTGTGTTACCAAAACACAAGGTGACTTGGTGAACTAGGCAACAATGGCATACATAAGAAGACTATTTTTTTTAAGCAGTAACAAAGTTACATGGCACAAATAACAATTGACACAGTGAATGTTTATTACTGCCAACTCACTAGTTGTAATTAATGTAATGAACAGAGCATACTACACTGTGCTACACATTATAGTTAACATGAAGAAAAAACAGCTTGCCAGTACCTGTTCCCCTGAGACACTGGACAGCAGTGGTAAAACCTTTGGTTCTGGGCAACAGGTGGTACTTCAGTTTGGGCAGCCCCTTGGATTCAGCTACCTCCATACTGATACGATGCTTGGTCTCTGTAAAACGAGTTCCTTCACAATACAGGAGAAACTAGTACAGCAAGACAAAAGGCAAGAACAAGGATATCTTGTGACCACAAGAAACCAAGCAGAAAACCAACATTTTTTGTGTTATGAGCATATATCTGTGCATGTGTACATAAACACTTCAGGAAAAAGTGTATTAATCATTACCTTGCTCCTTTACAATTTGTACTGTACAAGCAGAATTACTCATCTGAGGACAGACCTGTTTGTCTGATAGCTTTTCCAATTGTTTTTTATTATTATTTGTACCAGTTGTGTTCATAAACAGTGATGTCTTTTCCTAAAACCTTTACCTTGTTCATCATGTAAAACATCAATCTAACTGCAAAATCCTCCCATACAGACTTCAGGCAGCACAAAACTATCTGTCCTTTTCCAGCCTCTACGTTACCACTGCTCTGCTTAAGAGAGAGACCAGAAGCAAAGCAAAGCCATGCCAAGAACCAACAAACAAAGCCCATCTGAGCACCTTGGGGTGAAGATCTGTTTAGCCCTGGTCATTTTGAAAGGTGGACATCATTCCCATCACACTTGGATTTTACCTTGAAAACACTGCAGGACTGAAACACAAATCTCTGCACCATAGGTGCAACAGGCACAGGGAGAAAGCAAAGGTTGCTACTCCTCTTTCCCACAGCAGTACCATGCAATGCTGTAACATTGCAATTCAAACAGAGGACCTGTTGAATGAATCACTATATACCTGCAAGTTGTTAGAGCTGCAGCTGCCCAACTTTTCCTTGGTATTGTATATAAATAATGTCCATCACAAAAGGTAAGTTAAACAAGTGTTAAAACTACAAAGCCATGCACACAATACTTGGAAGTGCCTGGGTGTGTGACAGCATGGAGCTGGTCCTGCAATCTTTATTCTGCCCTTGAGGGAATACCCCTTATGAAAACAAGACCAACCACAGGCGGGTGCCACAGTTGGAGGTATAGAGGCTGATGCTGCACACTGAGCTTCTGGTCTTGAATTCAAGTTCTCTTTCCCATATACCAAACTCTCATCTTCTTGTAACTCAATGGAGAAGCAACCCTTTTGAACCAAGTACACAAGCAAGGCACAGACTGCACTGTGAAAATGACCTAATGAAGGAAGGTTGTACAGGCAGTGCTAATTACAACACTTGGAACGCAAAAAAAATAGGGAATTGATTTGTTCAAGTCAATTTTAATCATTTAAATTACGACGCAGGAAATCTTGATTTAAGTAATCAATGCTATCTATATTTTGCATTTATATTTTTTAAGTTGTTTTCTCCAGAGACCAGTCCTTGGATCTCAATAGAGTCATTACAATATATGGATTTACAACTTTCATGCAGTCTTGATGAATATTAATGGGTATGTTTTTTTCTTCTTTTATTTTTAAACACTAATCAGAAGGATATATTAAATTTTGTTCATACTCACATATTCTAGTTATTCAATACTTGAAAATACATTGGCCAGAATCCTCTTTTTCTAAAGCTTGTAGTTTTGCAATGATAGAAAATCCTGAACGATGCACTCAGTGTGAACAAGGTAAGCCTACTATTTCACCATTCATTTTAATAAGCTGTGTTGAATGGCATCAAAATTCAGTTAAACTGTGCATAAAACCTCTTAAAATGTTTTATGAGCCAAATAACCGTACATTTAATGTACTGCTAGAAAATCAAAACAGTAAATTTATCTCAATATTTTAATTCAAAGCTGAAAGAAGTTTACTAGGTTGACTATTCCATAGCAAAGTCTAACAACATTGCATGTAATGAAATATACACGTTTACCCTTGGCTTCAAAAAATGTCAAAATAAAAAGGAAATACGGTAAGCTTACACTTGCTTTTGCAGTTGTGTATTTTCTCATACAGACTTTAAGGAAGCATATAATTTTACAGATCAAAGAACACACCAACACATGAACTTCCTATTAAAATCCATGGTGCGTGCATCCCTCCATCCCACCTCCTTTTCCAGCAGAGACTTTTGTTTGTGTTCTTTTATCCTACCACAAAAAATGTAACTTAATAATATACAGATTTAGTTGTCAAATATTGGCTTTTAATTAGACGGACAAGAAAGCATAAATGAACTTATTTTAAGCATTGCACAAGTTTGATTTCATAATCAAATTTAAGCCTGTGAATCATCTATGTAAGCTTCTGAAGTGCTTTCCAAATGCCTACCATTAAAAACAGGCAAACAGAGCAACACTTTGCATGCACATACTGAAAGATGCCCTGAAACAGAGCATGTTTTCCATGATAGCATGCAAAGAAAGTAGGGAGCAAACCTTCTCCTGATATATAAGGTATTGCACTGCAAGAGCACAACTTCACTGTTTCACTTCACTGTTCCAGCAGTCAGTACTAGAGGAGGAAGCTGACACTTACCCACATGTATTCAGGATAGTCAGCCAAACGTTTTAATCCCTCAATAACTGTATCCCTGTCTTCTTCCCATTTCCTTTTGCAGAAAACAATCTCAAGGAAGTACCATGTCCAGCCAATTAGGGGCACGTACAGTAGCTCTTTCTTAGCAAGAACTTTGGAACTCTTGGAGAAAGACAAAAACAACAATCCAAAAATGTCATTGGCTGATGTGTACGAAACGAAAGCATTAATGTTAAGGTGATAAAAAGCTGATGAGGTTTTATCTGAGAATCTGCATGGGTTTAAGTCAGACCTCTAGTCCTCCAGATGAAGGGAAAGCTTATGGCACATACCCCCAGCACTCCAAAGCGCTCCGTCATAGTCCAGCCACACAAGAAGTCAATTTCAAAGTTGTGATTCAAGATGATGATGACATGCTCTTTCCCAAAGGTATTCACCGTAGCCTCGTCAGAAAACAAGGTGCACTCTGTGCCCGACCACCATTCCAGCAGCATTACTAACTCTGAGAAACATGAAGAAGAGAGAGATGAGTTAGGGGTGATGCTTACTTACAGAAAACATCCAGTGTTTCAACAGCAGCCCCGTGCAGTGCCTGGTCTCTTCTGACTCCTGACAAGACTTGCCATCTTCTCAATTCAACCCAGCCGAGATTAAATGAGAGCTTGTAAATCTATAGACCAAATTACAATGCTATCCTTAAGCAGAATTTAGGTAACTGGATATATGCATTATGGATACTTTAACAAGTTTTTAACAGTGGCAAGTTTAGACATCGTACTATGAATGTGAAATTTTGTGATCACCAGAAAAAAAATAGCAAAAACTTCATGCCTGAAAACAGACAGCTGAGCTGTTGATTGCTCCACTAAATGAGTACACATTCTCCCAGGTGGAACACAAATTATGCATAGATGCAGCCTAATGCTTTTACTTAACATGAAACAAGTTTTATGGAGGTAAAGAGACCCATGAAGGGCTTTTAAAGGGATGTGATGCACAAATCTTCTGCAAGATATTTTAATATTAGAACACAGGATTCTTAACATTCTATATTATGGTCATCTACGGAGTAAGAAGCAACAGAGATTCAAGCTAATTTATCAAAATACTTGCACAAAGCCAGGAATGGTAAAGTGCTTCTTTTGTGTACAGCTAAAGAATGAACGAGCCCTTTCCCCTCTGTCTTCTCCAACTTTCAGTACACCAATGTATCTCTTCCTGCACTCTGTACCTTTCCTTCATTATCCACTCTTCTTATTTTCAGCTTCCATCCTTTTCATCTTAGAAAGACCTCCCATTTAAATTCAGCACAAATTTGCATAGTTGCTATGGTTTGCCTATTTATCTCCTTTCAGTACAACGAGGCAGATGGAAAGCATCGCTGGTATCATGGGACAACTATGAAAAGTATGAGAATAGTTCATTTTCCCAATATGAAGATTTGCTTTCATGCAAACTGTAGTCATTGGTATTTTCTCATTTCAATAAGTTATAGATGCAATCAAAATTTGTTTGCACAACTATGGCAGTTAAAAATTCCAGCTCTTATGACGCTACTATTACAAATATGCAGGGTCAAAACTAGGAGGAGTCCTTTCAGTTCTCTACATCAGATTCTGCCACACCACATTTCAACGTTCTGCCAGGAAACCTTGGTTTTGCAAAATGGAGCACTGCCATCCTGCATGAGGGCTTCTGATCACAATTCACACTATTCTGTCTTTTTTGCATCACATCAGAGAGAAGGCAAACATAGTACTTGGGTGAATAGTAAGGGAAAATGATCCTAATCTGCTGAAGACACATAGCTTCTGTAGCTTATCTTCCAGACTGTTCTCCTGTATAATTTTCAAGACTCACTTATTTGGAGGCCTGACAAATGTATGCAATTTGCTGACTGAGGGAATGCAACCCTGGCTGATTGGAATTGCAGCAGAGAAAAGAAAACTTTATACCAACTAGAGATTTTCATCATTTCTTTACAGCTTTATCTCCTTTGGGAAAGATGTTATTGCTTCCCTTTCTTGTTCTGATTATGCTGGTTCAGTGCAAGAATCATAGAATGGTTTGGGTTGGAAGGGACCTTTAAGATCATCTGTTTCCAACCCCCTGCTATAGGCAGGGACACCTCCCTCTAGACCAGGTTGCTCAAAGCCCCATCCAGCCTGGCCTTGAGTGCTTCCAGGGAGAGGGCATCCACAACCTCACTGGGCAACCTGTTTCACTCTCTCACCACAAGAATTTCTTCTTAATATGTAGTCTAATTCTACCCTCTTCCAGTTTAAAACCATTTCCCTGCCTGCTACATACATTCAGAATGTCCTCAGCTTAGAGCTATGTTCTCCCATGTTGGCTTTTGGGAGAATAGAGTAGTAGTATCAAACACAGTGTAATGCTCCAAGCAATATCCCATTTTGAACAACTCTAGTAACTGCTATATTCACTGCATTTTCTTAACAAAAATAAAACGGGTCTATTTCTTTCTCAACATCAGGTAAAAAGTCTGCAGAGGCAGGTGTGGATGATTTTCTGCAAAGCATTCCTTGTACTATGGATTCCAAAATAGTGGAGGAAGCTTTGCTTAGATTTGCCAGATTTCACTCTGAAAGAGGAGGGTTGATGAGCCAGAGAATTCATATGAGGAAACAGATTGTCCTTTACAAGTGTACTGATAAATGAAGCAATTATAACAAGGAGTGGGTTCATTTCCTTTTTCTTTTGGCGTGTGGGTTACAGCTATTTTGTGTGTACTGATCCTGTCAATGCTACAGCAAGCCCATATTTCTAAACCAAAAGAATGTACAACTTGCAATGTCTGGGATACTCCATGTAGCTGCCACTGAGAACTAATATTTTACTACAACAAAAATCCTTCTTATGGTGTGGAATCCAAAACACCAAAGCAAGTGGTTTTCTGACCTCCCAAACCATCCAGAAAAGAAAATAAACAAGAGGCTGCATAAAGTACTAAAATTTGAGTCTGGTTTTGGAATTGGACTAAACTAAACATACTGCTATCCAAGAGCATAAGTCATCAGAAAAGAGTTGACACAGGGAAACTTGGAATACAGACTACCCTTCATGAATTAAATATGCAGTGACGTGTTTACTTTCAGCCCAGAGTCTGACAGAAATCTCCAGCACCAAGTTACTCCAGGAAGGTGCTGGCAGAAAGGACAGGGAGGAGGGGATGCCACCTCACTAACGAAGGGCTAATCTGAACCATACCATAGATGAATGCATTTCTGAGCCATCCCTGATTACAAACAGCAGCTCTCTGAACACTGGCAATCCACCCCAGCATACAGTTACATACAGATGAGGGAAAGCAGTGCTTAAGGACAGCTGACTCTTGCTGCTCCCCATCTCTGCACCATGTCCAGGTTAAAGCTGAAAGGGGAGATGATGGAGAGGTGCTGAAAAAAGAGGGCAGGGCCAGGCTTACTGGAGCTTGTGGTGCGAAGACTCTTTGCAGGAGGGGATAAGATCTGCAGGGCTGCATTCCATCAGGGTGTGTGGGGTATGGCTTAGCCCTACTCCTGGAGTAGCACTGAGTGGGGATAAAATGCTTTGTGTGTGGCATAAAGAGAGAGCTCAACTATCACAGTGAGGAGAAGACAAAGGAGATTGAGCCCACTGGTCTGACTTGTCCTTAAATATCTGATTCACAGTTCCACCAGATTATTTGAATTCACTAATTCTTACCATAAGAAAGTTTTCATGCCTAACCCACCTCTCTCTTCTACCTTTACTTTTTCCTTATCCAAAAACGTTTGCCATAGACACTAGATAGTCTATCTCCTTTACCTTTTGAAGCCATGCTTTATGTACTTAAGAAGATACAGTAATACAGCCTCATTTTCAGTGCACCACAATAATAGGTACACACATCAACCACTATATATCTACCTTTACACACCATTCTTCTGCCAGACTGGCAGAGAACCTCTTATTGAAGGCCATTACTGCTACAAAGAGATCCAACATGAAAAATTCTCAGCCTCAAATGAAACAGTTTCAAGAAAATGACCAAAATGAAGCATCTAGAATATAAAACCAAGCTGTAGATTGACTGCCAAAGGTTTCCTCATAATAGAACACATTTTGTTATGAAGGACAGCATTTGAACTGCCACATTTCCACAGCTTAATTATTATAAATCACAACCACAGTGCATATTCTCTGGCTCTTCCACTACAGGCCATCAGCACTGTGCAATCCCATGTAAACATTTACATTCATTTTCACAGCTTAATTTCTCGCTCATTGAATTTATAACAGGCTATACACAAGGGGTTATCCTAGGTACAATTCATCTATCTCCTTTGAATCATTTTGGACAATAATTTCCTTTCTCCTGTGCCTCTGAGACAGTAGTCTGAGTAGGTGGGACAAAAAGCACATGAAAAGGACAATAATCTTAAAACACAACCAAACTAGGTACTTCGGAGAATTTTTGTTGGTAGTACTTCACATTGATGACTTAAGAAATGTGGGTGCCTGTCAGTGGACTGCTCAGTGGTAATTTAAGTACTTGTTCAGGTGATTCATTTACCCAAAGCAGGATGCTGAGCACTAAGGTAAGTGTTGCACATACCGGATGGAAATGGAGAACAGAAATAAAATAGATGATTCACTACTGAAATAGGAGGTGACATTTGAACTAAGGAGCCTTCAGAATGTTCATTTCAGAAATCTAATTTCCTGTTAAACTGTATGCTGGCAAATGAAACCATCCGAGATGGGGAAGTTTTGCAAAGTCTTGAAAGAGGAAAGCAAAGCAGCTGAACTCACTGTGTAAAGCTCTCCCAGAGGGAGAAGAAGAAAACTGTTTACAAGAGACACAGGTGTCATTGACAGATACTGTGGGGTGTGAGAGAATTCTGAAGCTGTCACACAGTCCAGCTATAAAGGCATCTATTCTAGATACTTTAAGACAGACATCTGTCTTTGCAGACTACACAGTCAATTTGAGCTCCTAAATAAGAGGTCAACATGGTGCCTATTCTAAACACCTGAAGCAGTCTCTGTGAATTCCACCTGCTCACACTGCTTAGCAGGGGCTCCAAAACAGGGTAAAGATGTTACCCATCAGCAGTTTCCTACCCAACAAGGTAGGGTATATGGGGTGGTAAGGAGCTTCACTTCCCTCCTTTTATAGAACAGAGGGACAGTATGTCTCATTGACTTGACTTCTGTACATGTGCCCAATATTTCAGAAAACACAGTAGCTCTGAACTACTCAGAAAGAGTCTACTTCCAACGTAGCAGCTCTCTTAAGTGTGTGCATATATGTAGATTTTTTTTTTCTTCAATTAACAAAAAGAAACAAAAAACGCTCCCCTGCCCACCCCCAGACCTCATGTCTCCTTCAAGCATACTCACGGCTCCAAAGTGAATAGGCAAGGCGACAGTTTACTCGGCGATAAAACTGCTTGTTTATGGGCCAGAGGATTAGTGTGCATAGTTGAATGAAGTTAATGATCAGTCCACTCACAACAAAGACGAACCCAATGAGGAGGTGAACAATGAACTGGGTCTTCAGAAAGGCAATGAAGCCCATGATAACCACTCAGAAGCGTGTGCAAGGGCCGTCACTCAGAATAACTGTCCTGCAAGAGAAAGAAAAGCATCTAATTGAGTCTGGATTCACAAGCCCTGAGAAAGGGCAAAATAGGAGCGCAGAAACAGCTCATGCAACTTCAGCAACTGTAATCCAACCATATAAACTATTTTCTCTCCCAGTCTGCCTCGTTCAGGTTTTCATACAATCAATGGTACAAATCACTTCCAAAAAGGAACATTCATTTGCAATTTACAGCCCACCAAGAAGATCTGAAGATGAACTTCATACTTCTCTCTTCAGACAAAGATCATATAATCAGACAACAGTGGGAGGAACACAGACCCATGAACTCACACCAAACCAGACAAGCCCTCACTAGTAAATAAGCTGGGCTGCAATTGCTGTGCTTCTGGGGTTGCTGTCCCTGAACTGCAACAGGATTCTCATCTTCCCTGCACCCATAAACAGCATGCTGAGCCTCCAAGACTGTGTAAATGAACTGATGCCTTCCTAGCCTGCCCTCAAAGCTCAGCACACAATTCTTCTAAACAAGCACATACTGAGGGCAGCCAGGGGTTACACAGGTTTTGCTACATGTTTGCTACTACAACAGTACAGCAGTCCATCTGCAGTGCAAGTTCTTCACCCTGCAGCAGATTTCATGATAGAAAGAGCACAGCTGGTCATCAAGAGCATCAGCCTGGCAAACTAAGGCATGGAAAGGGTATTTCCACATGCAAAGACCATGCTGGAGCAAGTTTAATAACTTCTCACTTTGTCAAGCCATAAACCAGTTAGTAGGGGGAAAAAAGTAAAATAATAAAAAAATCCTTAGGCTACGTAGTAGTACAAACTTGACCTGGGAAAGTTCTTGGCACAGAACGTGTCCACTTCTGAATTAACTGGGATACTTAACCTGGGCATGGGCCATGTTTATCCCTGCTGCAGGAAGCTGGGTGATGTGTGAACCAGCATAAAGTCATAGAAGAAGTCTAATCCAGCACAAATCCTGCCACTGTGAACGTAACAGAACAAAATGTTTTCAACAAGAAACCTGATTAAGTTTATTCCAAAACTGTGTTATCTCATGCTGGCCTTTCTGATCGGTACTAGAAGATCTTCAATGAAGCCAACCAGGTTACCAAATCACAGATTCAGGGCCTCACTCAAAAAACAAAAGCACACTCCTAAATGTCTGCCAAAGTTTGCTGCAAGTATTTATGTTTTCTCTCTGCAAGTGTTGCAAATGACTGGAGCCACCAGTAGATGGTAACAAGTACATCTGACAAGATAAGCATCCAAAGGTGATGCTGAAGTTCCCAATGCCTGAAAACAAAGCACCTTCCAGCTGTGAGGAACCAAATGCCACCTGCTTACATTTCGGTACTATTTATAAAACTCAACAGTACTTTTACTTGGCAAAGCTTATTCTCTTACTGTCTTTTCTACATCTTAGTTACTGCCTTTCAAGCTACAAAGTGTCCAGCTTTTTCACAATTAAAATCTATTTGCATGATTAATAATCTAGTTACTTCAGAAGTACATTACAGAGGGGAAAGGCACTATTGTGACTACCACAGAAAGCAGAGCGAGATGAATAAGCTGATATTGAAGCTTCTGATGAATAATTAAATTTTCCCAGTGTTTTCCCGTAAGAATGAAAGAAATATTTCTTCCAATAATAAATAATTTCAGGAACAGCTGTTCGGAAGCAGAAACTCATGTTTAAAAAGAAGCAAGTGATGCCGTCCTTCCTCTATCCTCCCTCTTTGAAGAGCAGCAGGGTGTAGTTATCTCCCAGAAGCCCAAACCCCACACCACTGTTGACAGATATCATTCCATTCAGGAGTACCACCATAGTACTCAATGTCCAGTGCCCTAAAACAGCAATGGGTTCATTTATCTTTTCAGCTAACACATGCTTCTCACACAATCATCTGGGTTGGAAATGACCTTCAAGATCATCAGGTCCAACCAGCAACCTGACCTACCAGGTCCCATTGTTCCAGGTCCACTCATCTTTTAAATAGTTTCAGGAATGGGGATTTCTAACATTCCTAACATCCATACTAAACCTCATCTGACTCCAGTAATTATTTCTCAGATTGTGTCTTGCCTTCTGTACAGACACATGCAGGCAGCTTTCCTGACAACTGTATCCCTCACAGTTATCATACTAGTGCTTACTACCTCCCAAGTCACAGTTTAGCCCATTGCAGAAAAGGATTATTAATAAAGCACATACAAAAAGCATAAAGAAAAATGAAATTTCAAATATTATCCTCAAATAAAATGATTGGGCTGCACTTTCACAGTCTCTTTGACCAGAGTGCTTTGAGCAGAGTCTGGAGCACTCTGGTATTTGCCCTATAAACTAAGGACATTGCCATATTAGGCACCAAAGAACATGACATGTTACCCAATGGAAAGCTGGAGACAACATGGCATGTTGCTTCTCCAGCTTTGTTGTGTGTGGAAATAGCATCTATTGCCCTTGCTCCAGTGCCCTACCCTGCACTCTGGCATCATCTCTTTGTGGATCATGAGAAAGGTAAAGAGAACTGCAACCAAAGAAGAGCTGGTGTCCATTTTGCCAGTCCCTCAACTAATTGCTCTTGATTTCTTAAGGTATTTATTAAGTTCACCTTAACAGAGGATTTCTTTATTCTCCTGCCCATGTAAGACAGTCATGCATTGAGGACAGGCCAACAGGCAAAGGATGGTCAGCAGCTGCTTTACTGAATTGCAGAGACAGGCTGGGAAGAAGACAGAGAAAATTTGATGGAATGAGGAAAAGCAGAACTTCTACATCTCATTGACATATATGAAGAGCAGCTAAGGGAAGTGCTTAGGAACTGAGCATCTGCTTCGGCTTAGATAGCAAGTCTCAGCATGGTTCATTTCTTTTGAATACATGTTCACTGACATGCTAGCAAAATCTCTCAATTTTACTCCCTCCTTTCCCAAAGCAACTTGTATCTCCACAACAATCACCCATAACCACAAAACCTTTATTTCTAACTGTTCAGCTGCAAAGAGAACCACAGGTAACTTTTCACAGCCTCAAAAAGGTCCTACTTCTCACACTTATGCCACAGGGCAGCACTAATGTAAAACTCAGCTCAAAGCAAGTGGCATACTTCCAATGCCTTTAAGTGCCTTATCTCACAGGGTCAATTGACTATCAGAGACCACTCCCCATAATATTAATCTTCTCCAACAAGAAAATTCTTCAGCAGTCCTGGCTAACCAGGGATGTCCCGGCAGACTGGAGACTGGCAGGTGTGATGCCCATCTTCACAAAGGGCTGGAAAGATGATCTTGGTAGCTACAGAACTATCAGTATCACCTCAGTGCCCAGAAAGGTTATGGAATTGATAATCTCGGGAGCCATCATGGACCAATTAAAGGTCAGCCAGGGCATCAGGCTCAGTCAGCAAGGGTTTACAAATGGTAGATCCCATATGACAAACCTGATTTCATTTTATAACAAGGTGAGCCTGCTTAGCGGATGATGGTAAGGCTGTCGATGTGGTCTACCTGGACTTCAGTAAAGCCTTTGACACTGTCCCCCATAACATCCTTGTGGAGAAGCAGGCTCCCCATGGTTCGTATGGGCAGGTGCTCATCTGAGTGAAACACTGGCTGGATGGCCAGGCCCAAAGAGCTGTGGTCAGTGGAGTTAAATCCAGTTGGCCGGTCACAAGCAGCGTCTCCCAGGGCTTGGTGCTGAGGCCACTTCTATTTAACATCTTTATTAACAATCTTGATGAGGGGATTGAGTGCACCCTCAGTAAGTTTGCAGATGACACCAAGTTGATCTGCCAGAGGGGAGAAAGGCACTACAGAGGGACCTGGATAGATTGGATCGATCGATGGGCCAAAGTTAACTGTATGAGTTTCAGTAGGGCCAAGTGTCAGGTCCTGTGTTTTGGTCACAACAACCTCAGACAACCCTACAGGCTTGGGGAGGAGTGGCTGGAAAACTGCCTGATGGAAAGAGACCTTGGTGTACTGATGGACAGTCGGCTGAATATGAGCCAGCAACGTGCCCAGATAGCCAAGAAGGCCAATGGCATCCTGGCTTGTATCAGGATTGGTGTGGTGAGCAGGACTAGGGAAGTACTCGGCACTGGTGAGGCCTCATCTCGAGTACTGTGTTCAGTTTTGGGCACCTCAGTACAGAAAGGACATTGAGGTGCTGAAGCAGGTCCAAAGAAGGGCAACAAGGCTTGTGAAGGGCTTGGAGAATATGCCCTATGAGGAGAGGCTGAAGGAACTGGGGCTGTTCTGTCTGGGGAAGAGGAGGCTGAGGGGAGACCTTACTGCACTCCTCAAATACCTGGAACGTGCTTACAGCAAGAGCATGGTTGGTCTCTTCTCACTGGTGACAGGTGACAGGACGAGGGGAAAAGGTCTCAAGCTGCACCAGGGTAAGTTTAGGTTGGATATCAGGAAACACTTCTTTACAGAAAGGGTGGTTAAACACTGGAATAGGCTCCCCAGAAAGGTGGTTGAGTCACCATCCCTGGATGTATTTAAAAACCATATGGATGTGGTGCTCAGGGACATGATTTAGTGGAAGGTGTTAGAGTTAGGGTAGTATGGTTAGGTTGTGGTTAGACTCGATGATCTTTAAGGTCTTTTCCAACCTGAGTGATTCTTTGATTCTTAAATACTTTACACCCTTCTGAGCTCCTACCTTGTTTACCTCATTCTCAACCATAGGGCAAGAGCTGAGTGCTGAGGCTCCACATTCACACAAATTTTCTGGTATCTAAGAGATACTATGTGGTTCTCAGTTATACCATCTTTCTCCATTAGCCACCTTTCTGCATTCATCACAGCCATAAAGATTAACCTGCTCTGAGACATGTACATCTCTGTTAAATATGGCTCAAACCTGCTACCAAGCTCAAAAGCCATTAAAAAGCAGAATGGCAGAGAGCAGTACTGCAACTCTTTCATTTCATTAAGAAATCAGCTTAAAAACAAAACAGATGCAGCACAAGCCCTGAGCACATTAATGTCATTTCATGAAATATA